TTTTTCAGAGGTACTAAGAGAATATTGAAAGAACTGTATGAATTGTGAAAAAACCACATTCTCTTATAGACAACATAACAGTAATCATAATCGTAGGCCATTTGAATAGTTCTTGGAAGGCTGATGACTTTTAAGACACTGTTTCAACACACTCCTCTGGAGGTTGAGAGTGAATGTAGCACACTTTTGAGAGATACTTTATAAACTAATTACTTCAACCTGTGTCTCTCACAGTCACACTGTATTAATAGAGGTAATGGATTGACAGGTGATTGAAAAATAAAAGATTCTTTTAATATACTACACATTGGGGTATTTCACTTCAGGCTATGCATTTGCATGTCCCAAGCCTATCATCAGAAGTGGTATGGTTACCTCTTCAGAGACTCCAGGAAAGGAATAACTGTGGGCATTGCAATTTTACATCTCCAAATGAATGCTTCTCAATGAATAATATCATCGCATGTTTTTTTAATTGCATAAAGTGAAATGCATTTTCTCCTATCACAGTATCAGCTTTGTTTTGAATAATTTATTTTATGCAAAGGAATGAAATAAAAAATAGATTAACAAATAAGACAATGAAAATGCAAACTAGACCTCAAGTTCTCCACCCCCATGGCAAATATGAGTAGGAATACTTTTAATCATGTGTTTTGGAGTCAATTCCTACCTTCTTGAGCTTAATCTGACCTCAAATTCAACATTTTGATTAGTAAGTTGAAGATGAAAAACAATGATATCTACATCATGGGGTTATTAAATGGATTAAATAACAGTATGTATGTATTATACTTAGAACACTGTCTGATACATGGTTAGAAATGTGTGTTTGTAATATTATTCCTGTTGCTCCAGTCTAAATGTGTTTGTGTTGCCTGAAAGCCCATGTAATGGTTTCCTTATCACAGTCCAACATCAAAGAAAGACAGGGCATGAGCTAAAGGCAGGAACCACAAGAGAAGGGATGGAGGAATCCTAATGACCAAGCTGTTGGCTGTCAAGAGGTAGTTTCATTTGGCAAGTGATGGAGGCAGGGCCTCCTTGGAAGACCTTGCAAAAGAAAAACCACAGAGTGACAAGCACCACCATCAGTAACAGAAAGAACTGAGGTACTCCACACACCAGTCCTACATTTATATTGAATTTGCTAGCTTCCAGCACTATGAGAAATGTATTTTTTTTTCTGTTCTAAACTCTTCAACTTTTGGAATTGTGTCATGTAAATTCCAGAATCCAGAATGTACAAAGATATCTGTGGACTTTATTTTTTTACTATCATTATCTCTTCCCTATATGTATTAAGTCTATATGGTTTCTTTTTGTTTGTTGGCCACTGTTAAATTCAGAATTAAATATGATCATACACATATGGTAGTATTTTGACATGATTTAACACTAAATATTATGCATTGGTACCAGATTTAAGTAAAAGCATACATTGTTATTGCTGATTTGAAATGATTTAGCAACTGGAAATATTCACTGTTTTTTTATTCACTGACTATATTATAGGATCACTGAGCAGCTCTTTAACAGTATGTAATGGATAGTGTTTATTCTTAACGTGGGTTATAACACCCTTAGCATTTCACAATGCAATTGCCATGTTCCTTTAACAGAGGGGTGTCTTTTTTCTTTATTTTATTATTATTTCTCTCTCTCTCTCTCTCTCTCTCTCTCTCTCTCTCTCTCTCTCTCTCTCTCTCTCTCTGTGTGTGTGTGTGTTCATTAGGTTTCATGTGAATCATAGCCTGCACATTTCCCCAACATCCATGAAAAGGTAGGGGCATACAGACATAATTCAGTGGTGATATGGTAAGAACATGTTGGCATAAATTTCCCTGTTAGATTTGATTTTGTTTTTGTTTGTTTGTTTTTTAATGTTGTCCCCTTTAGAAGAGCTGCACGAGTCCTGTTCCCCTTAGGAATGGGAAATAATTATCATTCTTGTGTTTGAGGTGTTAACTGTTTGGCTCATATAATGAGCAAATGTTTTAGCTTCCATATTTACCCATGTGGTTCCTTTCTTCTACAATCAGATAGACTTGAAGTTCTGTTCATTGGGTGTGTCCCAGAAACCCAGAAATATTCACACAAAATTTTACATTTGATTTTCCTTTAAACTTTTTCTCATGCTCCTTGAAGATCTACCTGTAGAATAAATTAAACTCTCACAGTTCTGCAAACATATTGGTTTCTTTTATTTTGGATTGATACTTACTATTTCTTTGCCCTCTTGCTCTCCATATGTTTCACATTTGCTTATTATTTATACTTTATTTTAGGTATTATTTCTTCCCAGAAACTTTGTAAATCCTATTACATTTCTCTCATAAACTCTAATATATTTCCCTCTCACTTTCTTTCAAACTGTTTGTCATTTGTGTTCATCACAAGATTCTAAGAGTCGTGAAAACAATAGGTGCTGTTGGTTGTTTTTATCATTGGCTTTTTAGCACTATACATAATACCAAGCACATGACAGGAAGTCAATAAATATTTGTTGAATCCATGGGTGACTCTTGTCTGAACCCACATGAATTCAATATGTACTTTGTACAGAGAAGACAGTTTGCTAAGTGAGTGATGGGCATTTCTGCTCTCCAAGGCTGTCATCCTACCTACTTAGGAAGTTGAAGCAAGAAGATCAGAAGTTCAATGTCTGCTTAGGTTACACAACAAGTTCAAGTCTAGCTACAACAACTTAGCAAAGTCTGTCCCAAAATTAACAACAACAACAACAATAATAATAAAATGTATGAAGAAGTGAAGAAGACTAGAGAGCTGGATCTTTGGCAGATCACTTTCTTAGTATGTATAAGATCCAAAGTTCAATCCCTAGTAAAAAAAAAAAAGCAAACAAACAGGAGATAAAAAGAAGGAACCATTGAACTCCAACATATTCGTCAACTTTAATTAGTCCTAGTCTGATTTCTAATATCATGTAAAGATTCCTGAAGGCAGAAGTCCTCCTTCTAACCTCAGGATTCTTTAAAGTTCATGCTGCTATTTTGATAATTTTTAGTAAGTCTATGATTATATGTTGAGTTGTCATACAGAGATTGTGAAGTCAACTAGTGCTTTCTACTACCTAGAATTTAAAGGTGTAAGGGGTTTACACATTTAACAGTCAGAGAATAATCATTTTCAAATGCCCCGTAAAAACAGAAAAGTGTCCCCACCCAGGGGCCTGTTCACTCTCTCGTCTTGGTTTGGTTCATGGTGATAGCTTTTTTTTTTTTTTTTGGCTAAAAATAAAAAGAAGAAAGCAGAAAAAAACAACAGAAAAGTGAAAATTGCCTCATAAAGAGCCTGTGTCATAGAGAGCACAGACCTATTTGTAAAGAATGTTGTGGGATGTTTTTCTGCATGCTGTGAATATTTGTTGCCCTGATTGGTTGATGAATAAAACTGCATTGGCCTATGGCAAGGTAGCTTAGAGGGAGACAGGAAATCTAAGCAGATATATAGTGAGAAGAAATGAGAAGAGAAAGAGATGCCGACTGCCACTGAAGCAGAAGCAGCATGCCAGCAGACCAGTAATGCCATGGCCATATGGCAAAACATAGATAGATAGAAATGGGTTAATTTAAGATAAAAGAGCTAGCTAGCAAGAAGCCTGCCATAGGCCATACAGTTTGTAAATAATATTAAGCCTCTGATTATTTTATAAGCAGCTGTGGAAGTGTGGGGCTGGATGGAACCAGAGAATCCTTCTGGCTACAAACTTAGTGTTTTCTACTACCTAAAACTTAAAGGTGTAAGGGGCTTACATATTTAAAAGCCAGGAAATAATCATTTCCAAATCTCTCATAAAAATAGAAATATGAAAGTTGCCTCATAAAGAGCCTGTGTCATAGAGAGTACTGACCTATTGGTAAAGAGGAATCCCTTTCTCTAAAGCACATAAGGATATTTGTTTTAAACTGAAACAATAAGAACAATGGTATTCAAGTTATCACTGGAATAATAATTATTGGTGAAGGAGTATTTCTATTCGTTGGAACCTGTCTTGGCTAGATTTATATCAATCTGACATAAACTATAGTCATCTGAGAAGAAGAAACCTCAATTGAGAAAATGCCTCCAAAATATCAGGCTGTGGGCCAACCGATAGAGCATTTTTTTAATTAGTGATTAATGGAGAGGGCCCAACCCAACCCATTTTACGTGGTGCCATTCTTGGGCTGGTGGTCCTGGTTTCTACAAGACAGCAGGTTGAGCAAATCTTATGAAACAAGCCAGTAATCATCACTTCTCCATAGCTCTGCATCAACTCCTGCCTCTAGGTTCCTGCCCTGTTTGAGTTCTAGTCCTGACTTCCTTCAATGATGAACAATGCTGTGGAAGTGTAAGGCAAATAAACCCCTTTCCCCCAGCTTGCTTTGGTCATGGTGTTTCATCACAACAATAGTAACCTTAACTAAGACACCACCTTAAATAGAGGATCCAAGTAAAAGGAGGAAACAGAAACCATGATTCTTAGCTATTTAAGTATCAGGAGCTTAATATAATTGAAATGATTACTAGCAATAAAAGATATTGGGACATAGTTTAGTAAATTAACAGTAATCATTTCCTGTCTAATTCTTACAATCATTAATAACTAGGTAATGATAGTTTTTGTCTGGAAATGAAATTTTATTAAGCTTATAAATCACATTACCACAAAGAAAAGAAACTTTAATATTGTTAAATTTAGAAATAGCCACATTATTTTTAAGTGGAAGAGTTCTGACATAAGTGAATACACAGATGAATGTATGAAAGAATGGAAAGAGAGAGGTGAATTAAAAACTCCACATAACACTCTCATAAATATGGAACAAAATTAAAGTCATATGCTTTTTCTTCATTTGGATGTATAATTTTAATTCATTACAGCAGTCATGTGTAACTTACAGCTGTAGAAACAGGCCATTTGTGATACAAAATGAATAATTGTTTTCCTGAATTCTCAGGCTTATTTTCTAAACTAATGGAGGTTCTATTCACAGGTACCATGGTGGCAGCCTGACATCCTACTACATAGCTTTTTCACAAGTGTTAACCATTTCAAAGAACCATGCTTAAAGGATACCCAGAGAAGTCTAAGCAGCCAAATGTTCCACACATCTAAGCACCTCACTCTTCCTCTTATTAGGTAAATTTCAATGAAATGAGCAAACAATTTGGAGAGATATTCTTTCTTTACTGGACATAACCCAGCTCATTCTTCTTCTATCAGGTAAGTTTCAATGAAATGAACAAGCAATTTGGAGAGATGATCTTTCTTTACTAGATATAATCCACAACCAATTACAAAGGGCCCTTTCAAGGTAAAGTGCTTTCAAGGTACAGAACTTCACTCTGCTCTTGGTGATGACTTCACCCTTTCCCACATGCATCTGAACACTTCATAGAAGAGAATTGGTCTGTGACACTATGAGCATCATTAATTATAATATCTCTATTTGCAAGACCAGGACATTCAGGTAATTACTGCTACTGTACTTTCCATCTAAAAGAAGTCCCTAGTTAAGGAATGAATAAATACCTGCCGAGATAAGAAACAATGGGTATCTTGGTTACACTCATGCACACAAACACCTGATTATTGTGATATTATACCATTTATTTTTAAATATTATTATTTAAAATGGAGTACTCAGAAGTGGACAAAGGTCATATCATTCTACCAACCATGGAGTTCTCAGCATGAATTACACCTGCCCTGAAGCAAGATGAGAGGTGGGTCCTCAATATTACTCATAGGGTTGCTCTGTGATGTATTGCTCTTTAGTTGGTAAAATTGAAGTAAAATTTGCCTCTCAAGATAGTTTTATGACTGTCTTACAACTATTTTACAACTCTCTTGAGATAAACAGGAAAGAAGCTAAACAAAGCCTGACAAGATGATTGGCAGATAGACAGTATTGAAAGATTGCTTAGTCAGTAAAGTGTTTGCTGAGAAGCATAATGACCTATGCTCAATGCTCAGCACCCAAGGGGATAAAAACCAGTGGCTGGCTATTATAACACCATGACCTTCTTATGCACCTATAATCTAGGTGCTTGGAGGAAGAGACAGGAGGAGCTCTTGTGCTTGCTGTCTAGCCAGTCTACCTTATTTTTGAGCTCCTGGTGAGGAAGATAACAAATCATCTCTCAGAAAGTAAATTGGAGACTGACAGAAAAAGACACCAGTAGTCATCTTTTGGCCTACTCATGTATCTGTATATACATACACATACACTCACTCACTCATGAGAGTACTCTTATATGATATCAACTTTGCAAACAAATTTTAATGGACAAAAATCATTCATTGGTGCTTTCAGAATCTTAACTATGTCAAATTTGAAAGCCAAATTTGTATAATCACAAAATATAAAAATAGAACAAATATGTTAAATATTGTATAATCAGACTTATATAATTCATTCTGCATTTCTCTCTGATTATCTGAATCAGTGAAGTGATGCATATCATAACTATACTCCTCGGGATAGTCACCACCTGCTTTGATTTGCGTTTTATGTTTCTGAACACATCCTCCTACATACAAGTCCCATCAGTAGGGACCTAAATGCTGCCTAATATCTCAATCTCTCTCTCACATACACACATATGCATGTACCTATGTATGTGTACACCTTTCTGAAATTAGACACACACTTATTTCTACAAAACTTGTCACAGGATCATCCCTAATCAGCACTTCATTTTAAAATGTGATAATCAAGGTCTAAGGAGTAATTTTATGAATGGCTAATGAAAGTACTTAATTGAATGGAGCTCTGCTGCCTCCAGTTATTACAGGTCATTGCTCTCACTGATTCAGAATCAATGGCTCTTCAGACTAGAAAGTCAGGCTTGCACTTTTGTAATACATGTCTGCACTCACAAAATCATCTGTAACTCTAATCCGTTCTTTTGGTGAAGAGGGTGTGATTTCACAGTAATTGACAAAAGAGTACATATTTCTTTTGTTTTTGATGTGAAAGTTTAGTTTTGAGGTATGAAGAAGATAAAGTTCCTCCATAACCTCACAGGACACTATCTTGGCCAGTTAAAAATAATTACATGACCACAAGTTCTACAAAATGATAATGTTTCTGTACCAATTCACAGCAGTTGTGTCTCCCTGAAGAAAATCAAGCCCTCAAGATTCCAGCATGAATGGAATGGGTCCCTTGGACACATCCCCACTGGAAGAGCTATTGGCAGTGAATGGAGGCTGATGGGGAGAATAACACTCTTTTGAGGATGTGGTTGTTGGTAGGGTGCCTGTGCACCTGTGAGTGGCTACACACACATTCATATTGGAAGTAATAATTGTACTCATGAGGTTGTTGGTAATAGTTTGTTAAAGGAGAACCCAAAGTTAAGAGAGAGGTAGGATGGGTAGGGGATATTGGAGAAGGTACATATAGACAGATGTAATCAATATACATTATATAAATGTACAGAGCTTTCCAATAATAAAAAATTGAAAATAAAGCAGGAAGTTATATATTCGTTTCTATGCTTTCTCCTGTTGAGAACATGTAAGATGGGCATCATGCAGCCACTGATTTGTTATGAATGTGAAAACTAAGGAGGTTGAGACCTCAGGAAGCCAACTTTGGTGCTCAGTCATTGATTTGGTGCACAATTATTTGACTCAGGGCTTGTCGTTAGATTGTATTAATAACCACTGGCTTTGTTTCAGCCAATGGATTTGGTGTACAGTCATCTGAATTGGTGCCTGTCATTAGATTGAACCTGTAGTTGTTTGCTCACATCTACTATAGACAAACAGTGACTTTGTGTCAGTCCTGAACTGGGGTGAGAAATACATGAAACCTAAGGTTTCAACAGTGCTAAAGTAATGTTTTGCATATAAGAAACTCCAGTTCAATCCACAGAAATGCCCCAAACTGCAATGTGGAAGAGTTAAAATAATGCAAATTCCCTTAAGAAACTGATGTCCAGCTTATCCAGTTACAGGACAAGGAAAGACAGTGCTCAAAATGTATATTTCATTAGCATAAGGTTAGTTCAGGAACTATCAAAATCCAAACTAGAATTGAGAGAACTCAATTTTGTGATGTTTGGATGAATCAAACCAAGACTAAAGCAATGTGCTATATAATTTTATGGGACTAAATCTTTCTAGTCATTTTATCTCCCCATTTTCCTTCAAAAAGACTTTATTATAGTGAAATATTCCCAGACCTTTCCTCAAGCTTGTTATAGTTATAATGCTATCTTGGCTAGTAATAAATCCTTGCAATCCTTTGTGGGGTGCAAAGTGGAAAAATGTTGAGAAGAATTGTCAAGAGAGATATTAACATCAACATTATAGGCTCTCACGCATGATCTTAGGTATTATGGGATGAAATACAACAGTAATATTGCCTCATGAATCTAAGGATGCTGGTTTCTGAATACTAAATGTATCAAGGCATGTCCTAGAAACTTAAGAACTCTGATCCACTCACTGAACATCAGATGGGCCTAATCAGCTGAAATCCATAACTGAGGGAAAACTTGAGTCTTTTCAGTCAGCTACCATGCTGATATATGATAATTAATAGTTATCACATATTGACCCTTCTATTAAGAAGCAGGCTCACAATTTGCACTTAATGCTTCCTAGTCCAGTGCGATGTGCCTGTACCATACTCCCATTTTAGACTCCTGGGTGATAAAGGATAAGTTTCTTAACCTCCATAAGATTATTGTATAAGAAACACTGAAGTATTTCATTGAATATTCTTAAACCAATATTTTTTCTTATTGTAATTTTTGGTGGAAAACATGCTGCAAAGTGTAAATGTCTTGACTAAGGATCTGAAGCCTGTATAAAGCTAAAGGTGATAGTAAATAAGTGCACCAAATAGAATTTCATCGAGTTGTAAGGCATTTTATTTACAACACAATGTGGTCAGTAAATTATCTTCAACATCCTATCCCTTAAATATCAGCATTTCTATGTGCATTGTGATACATCTGTACTAAGTGTTTGGTAGCTACAATCTAATATATAAAATGTCATTTATCATACTGAATTTTAAGAAAGCAGCAATCATTTTATTAACATTTAGGTGACAGGCTATTAACATTGGAGCAAATCAATACACAGAGGGGGATGCTCAGCTGTTGAGGTAACTCATCAATTTGGAAATGTCTTAAAAACTGAATCAAACTCAGTGAATACACTAAATCTACAAATAAGGATATCCAAAGCCTCTGGGGCTATTAACATATGAAATAATATGAATTGATCATTTATTTATTCAGCTATTTATTTGGAGTACCGGTAATCAAAGTCAGGAATTTGCACCTGGTAGGCAAGTGTTGTGCCACTGAGATAATCCCTGGGCCTTACTGACAACATTTAAAAAGCAGTTTCATCAAAGCAAATATCAAGTCTAGGTTAAGAAATCAGAAAATGACTTCCATGCTCATGAATTCAAAGGAGCAGTGCAGGTCCTCAGAGAGAAGTAAAGGTCCAAGGTATAATCATACCCCAAACTGAAGTACTGGGGCCGAATGTAAGCAAAGATCTTGGAGGTACTTTCCTAGCAGAGTCAAGGTAGATGTTTAACTAACTAGATGTTAACTTTGACATCTTAGATCAGACAAATATCTGTGAGCTGCCATAAAAGTGAGGGGCATTTAAACAAGAAAGGACTGGTCATTCAGGTTCAACAGTCTGAAATCTTAACGTCCTCTTTGTCTCTGTTATTCTAAACTTTCATGTCAGCAGCAGCCTGCTGTATCCTGCTTCTTCTAGAGGATACAGACCACTGTCTCTGAGCAGAAAGAAGGAATTAGAAGGTAGTCTGGAGAACTTTAGATTCATTAGCAAATCACTCTAATAGCAATTATGCTAAAATAAAAGAGCTATTATGTGGGGTGAGATTATTGTCTGTTTCTTACTTGGTATATCATTTTCTACTTTGTGTGATAAATATATTTAGCATGTATTGATAAGTCAGTGATAATATATTGCTTTGGTCATTATATAAGAAATCTCTATTATGAGACTGGAGAGATGACTTGGCAGTTAAGAGCACTTCTTGCTCTTGTAGAGGATCCTGACTCAGTTCTCAGCATCTACATAGTTGCTCACAACCCTCCATGACTCATGATTTCAGAGGATCATATGCCATCTTCTGACCTCCACAGGCAACTCCATGGGCTTGTGGTACATATACATACATACAGGCAAAACAGCATACATGTAAAATGAAATAAATTTTAAAACATTTAATAAAAAAGAAACTAATATTCTCACTGCTTTGATATTAAAAATGGATTATATGAGGGGAATGAAGATTAACATGTGTAAGAAATTAAAGGTAAACTATTCTTTTCAGCAATTATTATATTGTTTCATATATAAAAATATATTCTAATATTTTCTAAAAGTGATGTTTAGTATAATGGTTTGAATTACAATAGATAATCACTATAATAAAGAGAAATAGAATTCATGAGATAAACAGATAAATACATTAAAAAGAAACCCAGTTTTTCTCCAAGTAAAATTGTTGAGCACCAGGAGATAGCTCAGTGTTTAAGAGCATTTATTTCTCTTTCTGAGACCCATGTCCAGTTCCAATTCCCTCATCAGGCATCTCACAACCTACTGAAACTCTACTTCTAGGACATGAGATATTTCTGGGCTCTACAACCTCCTTATTCATATGTATACATCTTGGGCAACTGTCATGCCTACAAGGCGGGGCCAAGGGAGGACCCTGGAGATCCAAGATCTGGATGGGCCAGTTCGCTCTCTGTTTGGGGACCCTGGATGGTGGAGGTTGACCGAGCAGAGCTCCAGAGAACATCGCTGGACTGTGATACACCTTCCCCAGACCCTGTGACCTACCTATCCCTTCATTTGCAAGTTACCCACTAAATAAATCTTCCTTTTAACTATGTGGAGTGGCCTTAATAATTTCACCAATATCTGGAGCTCATGTGGGGCAAATACCAAAGGCCTGGGTGGCTCCCACTCTCAGCCTTCTCCTCAGCTGGCTGGTACCTATTTGTATATATGAACCATATAAAAAAGATCTTCCCTTTACATTTTTTAACTTCATTTTTATATTTTAATTTTTTAATCTTGAGGACTAATTGAAACACTTCTGAAATATATGTGGCTTTCTGGATAAGACATATGGTACTTAACCTTCACCCTTGTTTTAAATTATATGAATCCACCATATTACATTACCCACTATTTAAAAAATAAGCTCTCATTTCTTTTTTAAAATTGCACTTCAAGGTTTGTTAGATTTTTTCCAGTGGAAGCTAATGCATTAAGAAGAAAAAAAATAGTATTCACTAGATGTATCAGCCAGAAGCAACAATGATATTATTTCTAGATCAATAGTATCTTTTTCCAAAGACACTTAAAATCTTTTTTAGATAAACAATCATTAATTTTTAAAGTGTCTGTAAATAAGAGAAGTGACAAGACTTTTAATCATCAAGACAGAAGCTATGAATAGTGCCATGTAATAAAAATGAGTTCTCTCACTTAAACGGAGCACTAGGATTATCCTTAAGAAAGCTCACGGGAATGGGGATACAGCTCAGCGGGTAAAGTGTTTACCTTTCAATCACGAGGACCCAAGGTCGCATTCCCAGAAACCACAGAAAGCAGGTATGGTAGTGTGTCTGCACTTTCATTGCTCTTACAGGCAGATGGGAGGCAAGGAAGGGAGGATCCATGGAAGTTTGTGAGCCACCTAGCTTGTTATAAACAGCTGTGAACCTTGCCTAAGGTAGAAGATGAGAATTTGTGTTCAAGGTCATCTTCTGATTGGCACCAGGGCCACCATGACATGCCCACTTTTATATATACATATACATGACTTGTGTGCATACACATGTACAACACACACACACACACACACACACACACACACACACACACACACACGCACACTTCAGAGTTCTCTTTTCTGAGAACCACCTTTGATTAGAAATGCCCTGCCATCTCACTTTATTGCTAAATATCAAGTAAAATTGGACAGAACCCTTGTCCCAATGTAGGACAAATCTATGGCTTAGTCTCCATGTTAGTATTTACCGCTGGCTCAAACTGTGTGATGCTTAAACTCAGCTGCACTGACCTCTGCCTACACCTGTGCTTTTCCTTTTCTCATATCTTTGTGTGATCACCTGAGCATGCTCACAATATCCAAATTTCACAAGAATCTCTATCTCAGCCTATGATATATGAAATGTACAGGAGACTTTGGGTCCCTATGTGCATATCTAACAGTCAATAAAAGGTGCTAGTAAATAACCTGAAAATGTTTAAGAACCTGGCTTTAGAGGCGTTTCCCCTTTTTGTCTCATTAAATACTTCACAGACCTATATGTCCTGATCCCTACATAGCTGACCAACTTGGGGGCTGAAGAGTTCCTGGAATGAAAAATCTCCAAAGCAAACTGAGGAAAATTCAGTGGCAATGGGGCATAAAACAAACAAACAAACAAACAAAAAACCCTCTGTTTTCCACTCAACTGTTAGTACCTCTTGATGAATGAACAGAAGCCAATAGTTGTGCAAAATGTACAAGCAGCATGGAAGAGAGTCCGGTTCTAAATGTCAGAGCATTTGACTGCAAAGTATGTACTCAATTGAATACACCTTCTGTAGGGGCTGCCTGATGTTTGCACAATTCATTCCTGCTCTGTTTGCTGTTCACTCTTTTTCCAAAAAAATATGGCAGTCAGGCAATGGTGGTGCATGCCTTTAATCCCAGGACCTGGGAGGCAGAGGTCAGCCTGGTCTAGAGAGCAAATTCCAGGACAGCCAGGACTACACAGAAAAATCAAATCTTGAAAAGCCAAAATAAGATAGATAGATGGATTAGAGAGATAGAGTTAGATAGATAGATAGATAGATAGATAGATAGATAGATAGATAGATAGATAGATAGATAAAACATTTGGCTAGTTGACCTACAAGAAAGGTGCTTGTCTGCTTGATGGACTGACTGATTTTAAAAGCTGTAAAAGGGTCAAATACAGATGAAATAAAAATGAGATCCAGGCCCAGTTGCTCATCCCACTTGCTAACTGTATTAATTGCCCTAAGCCATTTTAGAACATTTTCATCTGCAAAAGATTAATTTCCCATGGGAAGATGTCATGATCAATAATGACTACAGAACAACTATGCTGATTTCAAACTTTTTCAAATTTATCTGGAGCTTTAGAATAGATAGGTAGGTAATGATGGGACAACCAAAGACACCTTAATAAGGGTCTCATTTATTGGAGGTAATGTTGCATGCATCTAGATCCTTCATTTACTACTTCTCAGTAAAATAGATAAAAATCATTTACTAAGGAATTGAGACTATATAGACAAAAGTCATAAAAAAAGATATAAAACCTGAAAAACTTTCTACAAATCATGTAAACAAGTTCCAAGGAAAGACAATGGACTACAATAAAGCAAGTGTGCTGAAATCTACTGAGAACTGGAAGTCGCAGAAGTGAATCTATCGGGCATGGTGTCAGCAATTCCTAGAGAAAATTTCATGGACAGAAAACCAAAACTCTTCAACTTATGACAACAATGGCATAGTCTCTATGTAGTATGATCTTTCAGTATAGATCATTGAGTTTGAGTTATTACTCGGCATACACAAATGATGAAGCTGGAATCAAGTGATTTACCATCTCTCTGCCTCAGTTTCCTGCTGCATGGAATGTATATTTCAAAGTTAGGGGATGCTTGGCTCAGCCTGGGAGGAGGGGACTGGACCTGCCTGGACTGAGTCTACCAGGTTGATCTCAATCCTCGGGGGAGTCTTTGCCCTGGAGGAGATGGGAATGGGGGGTGGGCTGGGGGGAAGAGGAGGGGAGCAGGAGGGGAGAGAACAAGGGAATCCATGGCTGATATGTAGAATTAAATTATATTGTGAAATAAAAAAGAATAAAAAAGAAAAAAGTATATAAAAGTATGTATCATCGTATATATTATATATTGGGGACATATCATATAGTTATGACTACTTTTGTGAAGGTAAATTGGCTGTAAATGAATTAGTGATACAGACATTGGAAGATTCTATCTTATCTTTAGAAATATCAAAGTGTATTACCATATAAGTTCAATAATTTCTCATTAAATTAATGACATTAATAGAGTATTATTCATCTCCTATCAGATATATCTATTTTGTAAATTTTTACTTTAACAAGGCCAGAAGGTAAAGTCATGGTGAAATTTAATAATTAGTAACATTTCACACATGTGTATGTAAGACACCTCTGTAACAAAACAACAAGATTCCAACATCTATTATTGGACCCCTTTCACATTGTTGACCGTTTATATGATGGAAATTATACTGGAAATCACATCATCTTTCATGAATAATAACTAGATTTCAATAACTTTGGGGGGGCTTATATGAGAATGATATGAGCAACTGTCATTACAGCAGCTTGTCTTCACTGTCTTCATTAAATGCCCACAGTGTGAAAATGATTGCCAAATGAACATCTACAGGGCACCTCATCCAGAAGCAGTACAGGGGAACACAGGATCACCAAGGAGTATCCCATCTGAAACCTCAGGTATGACAGAGCCAGTAAGTGCAATGCCGTCTCTATAACCAGGATCCAGGTAAAGTCAGGTGTTCAGCAAAGTAACTATTAGAGACATGCTTTCTTCTCAATGGCTTCATATTCAAAATGTTGTCCTTAGTTCATTAGAATTGATTAAGGTCGATATTTTTATGTATCTAGCGCTACTGCAGCCCCTTTATCCAATCAATAAATTAAAATCCAGTTAGCTCAATCCATTCTGCCTTGTTCTATTCTCCCTTGTTTCATTCAGAAGCACTACATCTATTTTTGACTATTTGATTAACCTTATAATCTATTTGTGCTAAACTAATCTCTCAGGAATAAGCAGCTGGTACTACCAAAAACACAACTTTGCTTTTAAGGCCCTCTTGAACTAACTAGGTTTCATTCAACAGATAGGTTTATGGGACCAGAAACTGATTCAGTAATTTCCAACATATGCCACTTTAGAGAAGCAGAAGGAATTATAGAATTATCTGAGTCCTCTTGGTTCTGTTCTAATCTTGGCCATTGGGTATTTCTAGTTTTAACTGACAAATTTCAGAAATCTATATTCTGTAGATCTTAACATTGTTAAAGTAAGTCTTTGATATGTATATTTCCAGTGAACCAATGAATCATGACAACTAGCAAGATTTGATTAACCATGCAGAAGATACTATCAACCAAATCTAGGTGATCAAATTAAAGTATCTGTCTTCACAGAAGATGCAAGCTATAGTTCTTGATCATAGCATTTCTCTGAGTTTTTTTTCCTTTTTTGTAGTCTTCCCTATAGATAAAATACCATGAACTCAGATAGCTAAAATAACTGTGCCATAAATAGCACAATGCCAACAGACATCCAAGATTCAACTACTTCTCAAAAACATAAATCTTTTTCAGTAAAGAATCCCCTTATATTAAAAAAATTCTACACAAATTGAATAAAATAAAATAAAATATGTCTAACATTCAATGTTCTTGTTTACCTAGGAAATGCACTGAGTTTTTAAGCTTCCCACTACTCCAAATAAAAAGTCAATTTGCTTCTGTTTTGGAATTTTTCAGACAGTTTGATGGAATAGCTAAATAAGTAATCTTCAGAATATTTATTCCCTTGGTATAGATTCCTGGGTCCTACACTGTTTATAAAGATATGAGTTACTGTATTTGAAATCTCTAGATCATCTCTCTAGAGAATTTTATACTCTATTCTTTCTAATCACTAAAGTCATAGCAATTTTCAAGAATGTGTGTTTTGCTCTCATTCATCTGCCTGGAAGTAATTTTTGAACACTTTTTTTTTTATCAAAACAAGCTTTTATATAAGTCAGGTACAATGACATCAATGATCTTCCCCCTGGAAAGGGCTTATTTTCTTGAGAATGACTCATATAGTGTCCACAGTTCAGTAAGAAAGAAGTAGGCATACTTGCTGTAGAATATTATTCTGTATGCTGTGAATATGTATTGCTCTTACTGGTTGATAGATAAAACTGTTTTTTCAATGGTGAGGCAGAATAAGGTTAGGCAGAACATTCCAACTAGAGAAAGAGGAAGGAGAAAGGCAGAATAAGGTTAGGCAGAACATTCCAACTAGAGAAAGAGGAAGGAGAAAGGCAGAGTTGAGGAGATGCTGCTAGCTAGAAGCAAGATATAAAGAACTGGTAAGCCACAAGCCATGTGGCAATGTATAGATTTATAGAAGTGGGTTAATTTAAGATTTAAGAGCTATCTAGTGACAGCCTGAGCCATTAGTCTGTATAGTTTAAAAATAATATAAGCCTCTGTGTGTTTATTTTGGTCTGAGCAATTCCAGGACCAGGCAGGACCACAGAAAACTCCAGATACACATACTATTGATGCCAATATTCACAGTCCAGATGGAGCTCTACTGAGGGTAGGCATTAATGTGAGTTGAGAAATACATCAGTATGATTTTATGAAGATAAACTAAACAAAGAAACTAGCAACAAACATTTGGCTAATGGTAATGTATCTCAAATATTTGCTTTCTTTAAACCCTGCCCGCAATCTTAGCTTTCTTCTAATGTACTCTGCAGTTTTCATAGAGGCTCACTATTTGGACTTCCACTAAACTATTTACTCCTTAAAGAAAACGAACAAAAAATCATGTTGAACATGTAAGAACATGGCCCATGGTGACTTCAATGAGAAATGTCCCTCAGAGTCTCAGGCATTAGAACAGATGGTGCTCAGTAGATAGGGATATTTTGGAGGGCAGGGGTTGGTGATGCAGCTTTGCTGGAAGAAGTAAGTCCCTATGGGTGGGCTTTGATAAGCAAAACCCTTGCCTCCTACCAGTTTCTTCTCCCTGCTTCCTTCTTCAAGTTGAGGGTATGACATCTCAGATTCTTTCTCTTTCTGCCACACATGCTTGCTGGCTAGCTTCCCAACCATGGTGGATTCTTATCCCCTGGAACATTAAGCCAGAATAAACTTTTATTTTGATAAGTTGTCATGTCCATGGCACTTTATCAGGGCAATACAAAAGTAACCAATACAGGGCATTTCAGGAAAGCTACACAATTGTCTCATTTCCTCCTGACCTTCATAAGGGATGTTGGTTCAGTGAAGAATCAGGGTCTGCATTACACATTCCTCATTGTGGATTCAACTGGCAGAATGAATTTGAGTAGTCTTTGATTTGCTAAACTCTATATTAGATCAAGCTTCTAGAAAATGAGAAGATGACTCAGAGGTTTTCTCGTTATTTTCAATCTTATATTTTATGGAACATTGTGCACTGGAAACTGTAGCTTTGATAAGCCTGGAAATCTGATGTATAACAGCAGCTGGTGAAAGGTAAGAACTGGAATGGGGGCCTCACATCATTGCATACATGCCACACAGTATTTTATGTATTAACACACATGGTGCCAAATGAGGAGAAGAATAATTTAAATTTCATGTATTTTAAAGTAAAGTACAGAAGCTTTCCCACTGTGTGTGTGTGTGTGTGTGTGTGTGTGTGTGTGTGTGTGTGTGTGTGTGTTTCAGTACTAGACACACTATAGAATCTCCTCCTCCAAAAAGTTACCAGTTGAATCTACTACTGCTTAAACAGAAATGTTTCAAAATTCGTGCCTCCCTAAATATGCCGATATAATTGTATTTTAAAGAGCATTAGAAATACTGTTCACAGCCGGGCGGTGGTGGCGCACGCCTTTAATCCCAGCACTTGGGAGGCAGAGCCAGGTGGATCTCTGTGAGTTCGAGGCCAGCCTGGGCTACCAAGTGAGTTCCAGGAAAGGCTCAAAGCTACACAGAGAAACCCTGTCTAAAAAAAAAAAAAAAAAAAAAAAAAAAAAAAGAAATACTGTTCACAAATGGACTCAAGAGTAAGTGATAGTGTGGTAAAGAGGGCTCCAGATACAAGATGACTCATTTCTTTGTTAAATGGTGAACTTGGGTGGAAAACTGCAAATCATACAAAGAGAAAGGCATTAGAAGATGCAGGTAAAGACAGAATCATTATATTTATAAGCCAGTAGAATTTTCAAGGTGATGAACAATCACTACAAGCTGAAAGAAGCAAAAGAGACAATTCTAGTCCCACCAGAGGTACTCTGACCCTTCTGGTACTTTGATTTTACACTGATAGTGTCCAAAATGTTATGATAATCAGTATTTGTTGCTTTAGTCCACCTAGGTTGTGCTTCTCTATTATAGGAATCCCCAGAAACTGACACATCAGCTTTGAAACCCACCACAACTGTCAAGGATTCATGCTCTGAGATGAAACTACGTAATAGGGGAGAGATCTTGGTACCCAAGATACACATTGGTTCCTGCAACTGCAGAGGAAGAAGGTAAAACAGTATGCAACTTCTTTTGAGTCTTGTTTCTCACTTTTTTTCCTAAAATGCCACTGAACATTCTTACCTTCATTTCTCTTTCTCATTATTTCTTGGCTTACAAACTATGGCATTATGTACAACATGGTTCTAAATGTTCCCTTCTCAGTTTTTGATACCTCATACATGTGCTTCTATTGACACGTAACATAATATTCTCTAGTCCAAGCACATGAAAAGCATGTCACAAGATGGTCTTAAGACTTGAGCCCCAGCATCGCAGCAGTGAACAGGCTGACTTGACGTTCTATAATTCTTGTAAATTGTCTATAAAATGTGATAGAAGTAACACCACAATTCTAAACTCAAAACTATCACAGACATCATAAAACAAACGGTCCTCAAAGCCCATACAATTCATGCAGTGCATGAAAGCAGCTTTCAGCTACCATAAATGCATCAGGGTCTTTCCTGTCTTGTAGTTTCTCCCTCTATTGACATCAGCAACTATGTCTTCTCCCAGACTCTGGAGAAAACAGAGAAAGAATTAGCACAAAGAATTAACAAAAAGTCTAAGGTCTAGGAAGGAGAAGAGAGGAAAAATAATTAAGAGAAGTACATTTGAGGATGTCAGATCCTCAAATTCTTAGTATCATTTCCTTGGTTTTATAAATTACAGGAAGCTTCCATTTCTCATAATGCTCCATGACCATTTTTATGCATTTGCTTCAGATCTTGCAAATATAGAAAAAGCATCACTCATTGTACATACTTGTCCAAGATTTCTTCGGTCCATACTGCTTATTAAAATAATTTCTGTTTGTTTTGTGAGATTCTTGTTGTTTTGTTCTATTTACATAAGACAAAATTGAGATACACAAAGGTTTCGAAATGTGTATACAGTCAGACAATATAATTGTAATGGGCCTTGAAACTAACTAAGTTTTTAGACTTGAAAATCCAAATGTTCCTACCACTAAGCCCTGTGACTTCTCTAAATATATTTTTAGACAAATCTCTGGGCACATGATATCACAAGAGAAATTTCTTTTTTTAATAGGCTTATGACCAAATAATTAAAAAGTCTTAGATTTTATTGCCTAAAGTCACAATGCAACATGACAACATTTTAAAGCAAAAATAGATGACCTTACAAGTACATGGAACTTAAGCACCAATTTTCCCACAATGAGCCACAGCTAAACTTGTGAGCATGGGTACTTTAAATATCAAAGCACATGTCAGGGGAGGATATGCAGGAATGCAGCTCTCATTACAGACAATCAGAAGTAAGAAGCAATAGGAAAGAAAGCTCTAGACTCTTTCAGAGACACCCTCTAAAAATCAACACCTTTCTTATGTAAATTTGGAATGAACTGAAACATAAAATATCAAGAGAAACCTGGAATATGGCACAAATAAAGCTTATAGGCCCTGGAACGAGAGTTCTCAAGTGGAATATGTAGGTTCTCAGAGAGGCATACTAATAGGATTACTGACATGAACATGTGAACTAGAAAGAACATTCCAGAGCAATTTAGGGCACCTAAACCTCAAGGAGCTGGCTTCACATATTCAAATTACTGTGGTCAAACAAATTTCAGAAACTGCACTAACTCTTCCTATGAAATTCATGATGTGCTTTGTCATATTAAAGGCTCCTGAGCATAACTCTGTATTAAAGCATCATCTTAAAGGCAAGGTTTCCAAAAATAACAGCCATAAAATTGTGTTATGTGTAATTTTATTTCTCATTAGCATCTCGGGTAGGAAAGAGATACACTGAAGTAACACTTTTCTAATATAAAACCAGCTAGCAATGAACAAGGTTGATCGTTCTTCTAATACCAGCAAAAGTTGCTTAATGCAATGATGCTTTGCAAATGTATCAGAAAAGTATCTTTTCAGTTTAGAAGCATCAAACATAGGTTTGGAATTTACTTTATTATAGCAGCAAGGAAGAATTTCAAGTAACACTGCTTCCAAACTGCAATAAATTACAAACTTCATGAAGACAAGAATTAAGCTTCCCTTTTCAACCCTGTGTTTCAGGGTTTAGATAAATGGGAAGCTTTCAAGAAATATTCAATATCCTATTTTTAAAATTAAATGAATGAAAAAGTGAATATTTAAAAATTTACAACCAAATAATAGTTTATTTTCAATATTTCCAAGGCTGTACTTGTGAGTCTACCTGGTTGCTAAAAGATTTGTTGTTGTTGTTTGTTTGTTTGTTTATCATTCTAATATTAGTATTCATCACGTGGTCAGAGTCATTTGTGGAAGAGAGAGTGCCAGAGAGATACAAACATGACACTCCGCCCTCTTGTTTCAGTTTTCATTAAATAAGCCTATTTCTACAATATATGCAGTGTCCTGTCATATTTTTCATGGTTTTGTATTTTTAAAATACTTTGCACCAGCATAGTATTCTTAGGAATACAAAAGCTTTGTTGTTTGGCCATCAAAAAAAAGTGTATTGGATAAGCTTTATTTAGGCAAGAGTTACAGTGTTCAACCCCAATGTGTTGTTGGCTGTGAGTTCCTTGTTAGAGAATCAAGAGAACCAACAGTGCACATTATGTAAGTTGTTAAGAGGGCACAAAGCAGAAGTACATGCAAATAGGATCCTTTGCTGATCAACTGACAAAAATGATGTGACCAGAGGTTCCTATGACTCCATAAAGTACAGTATTTCCTGTTTGCTAAGTCAGTGTGTAAAATGATGTTATACAGGGTAAATATTAGAAATAATGAAAACTAGCTGGATCTCAGCCTTCCCTTAGCTCATGGAAGGGTGTAATGCCTGTAAAAAAAGAAACTATCAGTTTCTAGTTTGATGGATTACTTATCAATATATGATTATTTGTTTTACTTCATCTAAAAAAAATATACATGATCTCATGGAGTGCCAATATTCAGTAGACAATGCTTGGAATCCTACTGTAGCCCTTAGGAAATCCTTGGAGTTCTCTGTTAAGAAAACATGATCTGTGTTTAGTATATTTCATTCATTTATTGTTCCTAGCTGTACAGATTTTATATTGAGCATACCCCTCTTCACTCCCTTCCATTCCCTCTTATTTTCCACATTCTCACCCTCCTCCCTCACATTAATCTCCTTTGTTCCCTCAGAACACGTTATGTGTACTTTCCTCTAACATATACATACATGACTTTTTATGACTATAAAAATCTAGGAATCACAAATGAGATAAAAACACATGATATTTGCTTGATATGGGTTTTATTCACTGACTGTAACTGTCTCTAGTTGCACCTATTTTCCTACAAATTACATAACTCCGTACCTCTTTATGTTTCTATTTATTGTCTGTTGGATAGTTTATGAGAACGTGATATAAACTAGGCTCGGGATACCTTCTTTCCACAGACATTTCTATAATCCACTGTGATAACTTAACTATGCTATGCTTTAGGATCTGAAATCACCCCTAAAAGGATCATGTGTTGAAGGCTTAGTCCCAATAGGAGTTTTAGAAAGAGATCGGATCACTGCAGCTCTGATCTCATCAACAGCTAGGTGTGCAGGCTCATTGGTTCATAATTTAATAGGTTATTGGAAGGGTTATGGAAGCCTGATAGGTAGAACCTTGTTGAAGAGGGTGGATCAGTGAAGGTGTTGCTTTGGAAACTATATCATGTCATTTGTCACCCCACCTTGTTTCCTAGCTTCTACAAGGTACGCATTTTATTTTCCAGGTCTCTTGTGATTCTGTGCTCACAGCAGCCCTAGAAATAATGAAGACAGCCAACTACGGACTGAAACCATGAGCTAAAATAAATTATCTCATTTTAAAGTTGTTTCAGATATTCTTTTTAGAGTGAAAGAAATCTAATACACCTGACACAATGAGTCAAGGGTGAATCACAGGTTTAAGAAACAGGTTTAAGAAACTGTCACCTACCCGGGAAGAAGTTGGATAGTGGATAGTGCTCATATTTGAAAGCCAGTGAAGTCCTACAATTTGCAACATAAAGTTAAAGATGTTTTAAGGCCTTAAATACATTTCTAGAGGATTTACTAAAAGAACTTTAATGAAAATAAGCTTGCAAAATAATGTTTTAAGTTTGAGAAAACTAAAATAAACAGTTTTAATTGAAATTTGGAAACATGTCACAGAATATTTCAATAAGGCTTCAAGGAGTATAAATTCTAGATTAGAGTGCATATGAAACTAACTTTGTTCCATTTATAAAATAAAATTTTCCATTAAAAGAACAGGAAGGGAAGCTATGAAATGCATTCCTCTGGACAGGACATGGTTGTTGAACACATGAACACACAGCAGCTGTGCTTGCCTACAAAAAACTTGGACAAGATCCAGCCAATTAAAACTCTGGCAGGGAATGAAGAGAAATAGCCAAGCCCTTGCCATTTGCTTAGGAACCATTGGTATCTGACTTCAAAGAGAGTTGCTTTTTTTTGGGACTGTGGCCATTGTTAGGTATCACATTCTTATGCATATGTGGGCAGCACTAATTGAATTTGGTCTGTTTCAAATAAATAATATAATATAAAAATAGGAATTTGGGAGGTTAAACTGATTAGGGGTCCTGGAAGGAGTAAGAGGTGGGAGATTGAGAGGAAAGTAAGACCAAGATGCATAATTTACAGCTGTGAAAACAAACAAATAAATAAATAATGGTAATCTATATAGTGCAGTACAGAGGTGGGGAGATCACTGGTAGATCTACCAGTCTACCACTAGCAAGCCTAAAGCTCTAGATCACACCCCAGCAACAATAAAGAGTAGCACAAATATAATGTAAAACGGAAGTTTTTCATCATCCAGTTAAATAACTTCATGTACTTCAAAAGATTAGATTAGGCACAACCAGGTTATCTGCCTCATTTTCTGCCATGACACATGCAATATGATTATAATGATGATACTTCAACGTTTTCTGGGGTTTGGCCTACACTTATCATGGGAGGGTGATAGGATTTGGCATCAATTCTCTCCTACATAAACATTTCATTAGAGCTACATGATTCTGTCTTAAGTGCAGAGGTTATATCAAGGGAAATCAAAGTTTACAGGTGGCTGTGAACCCCAGTTCATATAAACCCAAAGAAGTAAACCAGGAAGGACAATGGGCAAATCCAGATGGAGCAGGAAAAAGGGAAACAAAACAAGTTTGCTATCACCCTGGAGACAAAGTATATATTCTTTTTACACTCTACCTTCCCAGTATCTGTTCTTTAGTAGAGCGCATGATATACTCTAAAATGATTATTTTTCTTAAGTTATTTGCATATCTTAATTTGTTATTTCATAATTATACTCTGGTTTCAAATCTGCAGATTTAAGCCATTCTTGTCTTCCTTCCCTGTTAACTTGTTTATGCTGTGGAACTTCTGAGTCTATAATTAAATTATTTTCTCAAACAAATTTACCATATTCATGCATACATTAGCATTTCATTATGACAGTAGACAAACATAAATGCATACCATATGATGTCAAGCTGAATAGTGCTGCATGTACCTAAGTTCACATTTATAGTATCTGGCCTGGATCCCACAAATAAAAAGAGACAGAAATGATAACTTTAGGTACCCTCACCTGAAATAAGGACAAAGTATGATAGGTGAACCTTTATTCAGCAAATACTTCAATCCTCTTTTATACCCCTTTGATATTGGGCTTGGCCAGGAAATGGCTTTCACTAATGAGGAATAGTGATGAATGTGACCACAAAAGAGACTTTCAATACATCTGTCAGGTTTTCTGTAGTCTTAGTACCCTGGCAAGCCACTCTGATAAAACCTTTCCCACTCTCACTGGTCACTAAGATGCATACATGACGATCAGAAAGACAAAATCTACTGTGTGGCAGAGACTCCTAGCCAAACCCACTCTCAGTAGTTGAAATGGAATCCCCCTCAGGAAAAATACTTGCTGTTGAAATTATCTTATGTTTTGGGGAAATTTGTTTCACAGAACAATTGCAGCTATAGTAAAGACAAAAGACAGAAACTACAAATGGAAGGGAAGGGTAGATATTTGTGGAATCAAGGTTTAAATGACTCATCTGAATGATATACATTTATAGCTATGCATTAATAGACTGAATCTATAGTGATACAGAATTTAGTGATGAGAATGTGTTCCAAGGAATATAATGGTAAGTTAATATGTCATTGTGTATGTACCACAGATCATATTTACAAAAACCCAGATTATATAGGTCTATAACTTGACATGTCTCCATGATTTACTGGACTCTAGGTTAATGAGGCCCCTTCCAGTATTATATGACATACATCTTTACAATAAAGTTATAGTTAGAAACAGAATGAAAACATTCAAAACTATTCATGCAGTGAGGGACATATATAACCCAAGGTATGGGGTAGAGGAAATGGTTCAGCAATTAAGTATATTAGCTGCTCTTCCAGGGAACCTGAGTTTGATTCCCAGCACTGACATGGTGGCTCACAACCTCTTGTAACTCCAGCTCCAGGGGATCTGATGTCCTCTTCTGGCCTTCACCTGTACCATTCATGTTTTGATGCACATGCATACCTGTACACCAATCACCCATACACATAAAATAATAAAAACATTTAAAAAGTAAATAAACCAACAAAGTGGAACTTTATTAACTTTATCGTGTATGAGGTACTACTATATGGTGTAGTTCGCTATACATTGATGCCATCGGTCACACATAGGCTTGTTTTCACGAGCACCAGTGCAATGACTAGTACACTTTATTGCATGATGAACACTGCCATGCCACTATGCAACACAATTTTTATTTTCTTCTGGGATCTCCCTTATAGACCCTGTTCATCACTGATCAAAGGATCACTATATATTGTTTCATTATAAGTGTGTGGTTATGTTGATAATATTTTCTCAAGAGTGTAACACACTCTGAAACTTGCTCTTTTTGCCACATTAAAAACTATTTTAAAAGGTCTTATTTGGTGAATTTGCTTGCAGGAAGGTTATAACCTTCAAAATGATTCCAAATGTGGGATATATTTTAATATATATGAATATAAAAAAATCTTGCAGATATTACCACTGTCACAACTTTCTCATTGTATGGATGTAACATCAAAAGAAAAAGGAAAAGGGTGAGAAGATCACTTCAAAGAGACTATTGAATAAATTTATATAATTTGGAATCTTAAAAGCAAAGCTTCCCTTCTATTCTATCAGTTATGGAAGCACATCAGAATTTATAGAGAATATTATGGGAAGATTTTTTTATTCGACTTAAGACCAGCATTAATAACTTTATATAATTGAGTTATGCACTTAATACACACAGTGTTGAAGCTTCTTCTAACACCTGTGTTAAACACAAATGTATGGTTCAAGGTACTAAGATCACAGTAGCCAATAATGGAAGAAAATGTGATGGGTAAATATAATATAGATGTAGGTCACAGGATGAGTGTGATCCATACTGGTAGTTCTCACCTATGTTTAAAATTATGACTTAAGTTTCACAATTACTACTTTTAACTCAGTTTAGCTCAAATCTTACATTCAAATTCTACTTTTTCAACTGAGAGCAGATTATCTCAGTTTTTACTGTGATGGAATTTTCAGCTGGATAGTTCTTTGCTGCTGGGGCCTGGCTTGCAAATGATGGTATGTTTGGCAGAATCTCTGGTCACTACCCACTAGATGCCAAATGTGGTCCCTTAGTCTGGTATCATAACAACTAAGTACATCCCAAATATAGACATATCTCTCCTTCCAAAACAGACAAACAAACAAACAAATAAACAAACAAACAGGCTGCCCCTAGAGAGACCCAATGAACTATAAAGTGCCATGTAATATATTCTTCCAACTATAGTTGTTAATTATAACCCCAAAATAGCCATGATAACACGCTAGTATCTTTTTTGTTTGTTTGTTTGTTTGTTTTTGGTTTTTTGAGACAGGGTTTCTCTGCGTAGCTTTGCGCCTTTCCTGGAGCTCACTTGGTAGCCCAGGCTGGCCTCGAACTCACAGAGATCCGCCTGGCTCTGCCTCCCGAGTGCTGGGATTAAAGGCGTGCGCCACCACCGCCCGGCTAACTAGTATCTTATAGGAGCATCCTGATTAATTTTAACCTTGAGAAAAGTCAAAAGAACTATATGATTATTTCTATATTGGTGATGATGAAATTGAATAAAAGGTTAAATCAGATCCCAGATTTGAAAAAAAACTGAAGCAGTGACTATTAGGAAATGGGCTTTAAGTCACTAGCACTACAGACTGACATTTGAAACCTGGACAATATCTCTTAAGGCATTTTCTACTCAACTGCCAAACTTGGATCTATTCTAAATGACCTCAGAGGTCTCTCTTCCAATGTGGGTCTCTAAATTTTAGATAAATCTATTTGGTCAGATTTGTTTCCATAACAGCAAGTTGAGCACATATCAGACGATGTGCAGCACTAAAAGTCCAGCTTGCTAATGTCAGCCATCAATCATTACTGATTTAAATCATGCCTGTATCTTTAAAGTCTGTGTCTTCATAGAACTGTCTTCCAGGGCAACATTCTATAAGAAAGAGAGAGGCTACTTCCAATACTATCCTTGCAAATTTCTTCAGATTCTTATTGCAAAGTCTTCAAAGTCTTCAAGGTCATATAGGATCAAAGACATTTCTGGAAAATGTGTATAACTTTGCTGGCCTTACCAGTTATTGGCAGAAAGGAATTGGACTACTGATCAGGTGTGTATATATACTAACACTGGAAATGGTGTTGGAAAATGTACCTAAAGATTAGATGTTACATTGACTATAAACCTAGAAAGATACAGTTCCCTAGCCTAAAGTGAC